CATATGTGAGTATTAATATTATTTACTCATAATTGTTTGGGATCGATATATAAGAATTCATCGTTTAAACATATTTATAATCTTTTATGGATAAACGCACGTGTACATTTTAAACTTAATATCTTCTCTTAAGCTAAATTAATTAAATTTAAAAAACCAAATATTTCGTAAACTTTTAAAAATAAAACGGACCCAACAAGAATTATAAAATTACAATTGAGTCCCCTACCTAAAATTACGACTTTCGATAATAAACCCCGATATTGAACTTTTGTTTAATTCTCAGTTGTGCTGTTGTCTGGTCTCTTTCCCAGAATTTTCTGAAGGCAAATTCAATATCCATTTTACCAATTCTCTAAAAAAATCAAGGGAATTAATTAGATATATCAGTATAATTTATAGATTAAACATTTTTAGGTTCTTGATTTTTTTTTACTTTTCTTAATTTTCTTATAATTTTTTTTGCTTGAAGTTGTTGAGTGATAATTTCAATGGGAACGCCAGAGTTCCCAAATCTTGGAAAACATTGCTTTGTAGATGACTGCAGGCAGATTGATTTCTTGCCTTTTACCTGCGATTGTTGTCACCAGGTTAGTCCTGATTTCATTTTTACATTCACTATGGTCAATGTTGTGTCTTTTAGCAACCGCGTTCCTGTGCAATAGCTCGCAAACCGCTTAAGAAATGTAAACCGTACTAGTCGAGCATCATGTGACGACCCGGAAGGCTAACCACCTTGTGTTTTAACCCGTGTTTGTTATTTGGTACTTATTTGACTAAAGTTGAAATCTTGTATGTTTAAGTGAGACTAATTAGTTAAAATTGAGGTTTAGTTGTTGTTGTTGAACTTGACTTAGGTGTATTTAGTGTTTTTTGGAGTCTTTCTAGTTTGACTACAGATTTGTAAGTGACTATGGGCATTAGTATGAGTTTTGAGACAAATTATTGAGTTTTGAAAAGGAAAGGGATGAGTAGACAAGGGAACCCACAACCACCCATTCTTGTATAATAGCTCATAAGTCACACATGATAGGTAAAATTGCACTAGGCAAGCCCCAAGGCTAACCCCCTTGTGTATTAACCCTTGTTTGTTATTTGGTACTTATTTGATTAAAAGTTGAAGTTAAGGTTTAGTTGTTATTGTTAAACATGCCTTAAAGTGTATTTAGTGTTTGTTGGAGTGTCTTTCTAGTTTGACTTTAGATTTGTAAGTGACTATAGGGATTAGTATGATATTTAAGACAAACTATTGAGTATTGTCTTCGTAATAGCTCGCAAACTAGACATGAGAGGTAAACCACACTAGGCGTTCCCCATGTGATGAGCTCAACCCGAAAGGCCAAACCCCTTGTGTTTAAGCCTTGTTTGTTATTTGGTACTTATTTTGATTAAAGTTGATATCTTTTATATTTTGGTGAGACAAATTAGTTGAAATTGAGGTTTAGTTTTTATTGTTGAGCTTACCTTAGGTGTATTTAGTGTTTGTTGGAGTTTTTTCTAGTTCGGCTATAGATTTGTAAGTGATAATGGGGATTAGTATGAGATTTAAGACAAAATATTGAGTATTTAAATGGAAAGGGGTGACTAGTGTGGAATAGATTTAGAAGATTCATATTGATGATGCCAGGTACTGAAGCATAGTTGATATATCAATCGAAGGTGAGATCTTATCAGTTGCAATATGTTTGAAGATTTTTCTTGAATCTGGTTTGGTAGGTTCCTTTTTCTTTGTGGGTTTTGCAAGCATAAAAAAATTAATCTTGATGATGTTTAGAGAAATTCACTTAGTGGGAAAAATGACCTTGAGTGTTCTAAGTTAAAATCTTTTTCGGTGTAGGCGGGACCAGTTAGTTGGGATTAATTTTAGTTGTTGTTGTAAATTTGTTATACTCACGTTAGGTGCATTCAGTGTTTGCTGGACTTTCTAGTTTGGCTGTAGATTTGTTAGTCACTTTAGGGGACAATGTGAATTTTTTTTTTGATAACCGAGAAATCCACGTGTTACCCACCCTTTGGACTAATCACAGCCTTCTAAACTCGGTGGATAATGGGCCTGCCCTTTACCCTTCTCCACTTTGGACTCAAATACCGGGCTTCGCTGAGATTTAAGAATCTATAATTTGTCTAAAAAAGACAAATTATTGATTATTGAGAAGGAAAGGGGTGAATAGTGTGGAAGGGGTTTAGAGGATTCATATAGCTGGTTCCAGCTATTTGGTATTGGAACATAGTTGATCCATTAATCAAAGTTGAGGTCTTTTTGGTCAAACTGCATTTGAAGATTTTTCTTATTTTTGATCTGGTGTGTTCCTTTTTCTTCATGGGGTTAGCGGACATAAAAATTTGATCTTGATGATGTATTTGAAGATTTAGCAAGTGGGAGAAAGTGATTTCGAGTGTCATAACTTTTCCTTACTTCGGCTCTAGCATCGAAGAAGTGGTGATATATCTGCTACACTTACGAAGTTGATGTAGAACATTTACATTGTTGATCTATTTTAGCTGAGATCTTGAGAGTAAGATGCCCTTGTTTTTTGCTTTTATTATTTCAATGATCTGGTTTTTTTATATCCGACTGAGGTTCCTCTGAATTATTCATAGCTTTTTCAGTAAGTAAGTTTGCTGTCTGCTGAAGATGTGAAAAATAAATGGGATTCTGATTACAGATGTGTTGCAATGGTAGAACTCCACTGTATCTTTATCATTTTGAATGCGCTATGACAAGTTTTTTCTGTGCTAAATTCTCATCTTCGTAGAAAATTTAAGCGCCTTTCCGTCTGTGTCTCTTTCTGTTTTATTTTAGTATAAAAATAACTTCTCTGTTAAAGTTGTTCTGAAACTATTTGCAAGTTGTTCATACTTAAAATGGACTTACTTTTCCTTATGATGATGGCATTTTGACATTGCAAAAGTGTGCCAATCTGTTTTGTGTACTGTTTTCCATTTCACACTATTTTGTTGTTGTTACCATTCTTTTAGTCGAGGATCTATCGGAAATGACCTCTCTATCTCTACGATCTAAGGGGGTGGGGTGGGGTGGGGGGTTAGGTCTGTTTACACTATTCCCTCCCCAAACCCCTCTAGTAGATCTAAAAGGGGCTTAATTTGGGTAATGAAACTTGGCAGGTCTTTTGTCTAGAGCATCGGAGCTATAATAGACACCACTGTCCGACAGCGAACAATAATGATGTTACTGTGGTTGTTTGCCCACTCTGTGCAAAAGGAGTACACCTTATTCCTGACGAAGACCCAAATATAACTTGGGAATCACATGTAAACACAGATTGTGATCCATCAAACTACGAAAAAGCCACAAAGAAAAGAAAATGTCCCGTACCTGGCTGCAGAGAGTTCTTGACTTTCTCAAACACAATCAGATGTCGGGAGTGTACTGTAGATCATTGTTTGAAGCATCGTTTTGGACCTGATCACAAATGTCCTGGACGTAAGAAACCAGAAGCAGCATTCTCCTTTATGAACTTTCGCACTGGCAGTAGAAATGGCGAGCCTAATAAAGCTCCAGCCACGTCATCCTCTAGTTGGGCCTCATCATTCTTCAAGGCAGCTGAAGCTGGAATGGCAAAATTAGGCAGCGGAAGGGGCCAAAGCAGCAATGCCACAAACCATAGTGGGAGTGCTAACAGGCAAGTTGAGCAATGCCCGCAATGCACTCTTAGATTCTCTTCAGTCACAGCTCTCGTGAGCCACGTACAAAAAGTCCATGAAAAAAACGATGTCATGAACTTGACAGTCGATGTCTGCCCAAGATGTAGTAAAGGCTTTCGCGATCCAGTGTCCCTTGTAGAACATGTTGAAAGGGAACATAAAGGAACTTCAAAGGCATAAGGGAGGTCAATGTAAAGAAGGAAATTGAAGCCTTGTTATTTTTAGTCAGTACATTTGAGAATTTCACTGTTGCATTTTTCTTTTGGTGGTGCGGTGGGGGTGAATTGGCCTTCCTTCTCCTTTCGTTATAAGGCGTGAGAAAAGAAATTCTTGTGTTCATGGGGTTCAAGATGTTATGTGTTTAGAAATCTATGAGTATCATATCATTGTTCACTTGAAAAGGAATAGCTCGTAAATTTTTTATGTTTCTTAAGATAAATTACACTAGAGCTGATTTGGTTGGGAATAAGTACTCGGGATTAATTATTTTGAGATTGTTATTTCATACTTGTGGAATAAAAATAGCACTACAATCTCGAGATAAATAATTGGGGATAAGCTATTTCATGATTTTATCACAACAAATATGGTATAAATTCATTCTAAAATTAATTTTGAGATTAGTTATTCCTTATTCCTCCTATCAAATGAGTCATAAACACCTTTATAATATGATTTAACCGTAGATACATACTTTAACTTTTTATTTGTGGATACATATTTAACTTTACAATCAAATGTTTACATCTTCTCTACTATAACACTCTACACAAACACAAGCTTAAATGATATGTTCATTTTATTAGGATATTAAAAAACGTGAGTATGTGATTTTAAAATTGTGAAATAATAGAATAACATATCCGAAAAAATTATATGTTTTTTTAACTTAAAAGAAGACTTACTAGAGTCCAGTCGAACGACGTCGTATTTAACACTATCCACTTCTTTTTTCCAGAACATTTGGGAAAGAACACTCATTATCAATTCTCCCACCCCAAGCTCATCCTGGTAAGCTCCTAATTCCTCTTTAATTTCTGTAAGTGAATTTTCTATTTTTTTAGAGGATTTGTGCTATTGATTATTTCTTCGATGAGTAAAATGTTGGTATGAAATTGCTAAAGCTTCTTGAAATTAATTCCTAAGGATCTTCATTTGTTGTATGTTGAATTGGCTAAAGTTCATTTTAGCTTCTATTTTTTTTTTGGAAGTATTTTCAAAAATTAAACTTGCTTACAGAAGCTTGATAGATATTGGGAATATGGATCTACAAAGAATTTTTCTTCATTGAGTAAATATTTGATTTTGTTGGACTTGAACTAAGGCCTTTGAACTAAAAAAGAGGAAAAAGATAAGTTTTTTTTTTTTGGATAAAAAATGAGACTGTTCAGGTGATAATATTAGGTGAATTCTTTATGATAAGCAATGAACTCCCGGTGTTCTTAAGGCATGTTAGTAGAAATGGCAAAAGAATGTGAATGTGTTGATCTTGTTGTGAAGTTATTTTCTTATTAGGTTCTTGTGTTTTTGATTAAATTTTTCTCCTAGGGTCAACTACAAGTAAGTTGTGAATGTGCACGAGTTTAAGTGTTTTGAACTAAGTTGCACAGACTCATCACTTTTGATATCGCACCTCTATCACATACTCACATTACTTTTGGAGAATCACATACACACCTGTCGACATTTTTTAAAAATCTGAGCAACATAGGTTTTGAATTATCATCATACTTTGTTCTCATATTAGTTGCTGACTTACATTTTGTTTGTTGGGTTGGAAAAGTAGGGGTCTGGGAACAATGGCTATTTCCCTTTATTTGGTTAGGTAAGATACCAGGGTTACACAACACCTTCTTTAACTTAGGGGGAAAGAAGGATATAATGATCTCTTACTTTCCTGTCAGATGTACCAAACAACATGACGGGAAGTGTGAATACCTTTTCAGAGAAATAAATCAACAGTTTTACCACCCACACTACCATTCGCCTCTCTTTTCTTGAACCAAACATTGTTCTAACATATAACTCTTTAGTTGTCTGTCCATATGGTATATCATGTGCTAGAAACTAAAGTTCTCAAAATGATTCATGTGTTCATTCCAATTTCCGTAACCTGTAACATCAATGCGTCACTACATTATAGAGCTAATGATAGTGTGTAAAGAATCATCCTTGTAGATCTTGATATTACGATATTAAAAATTTTTAATTTCTTCAAATCAAATGCAGTGACAGCATTTTATTACCATCTTTTGCTGCACTGAAATCAACTGGATATCGCCATGAGTTTGTTGTTCTTTTGAAGTGGAGTTTCAAGGGCCCAAGGCCTTTCTATTCTTAAAGCACTCAAATTACTGTCTCACTGTGTTTTAGATAATCTTTTAGCTGTTGGAGTTCAAGAATGGCAACAAAGTACATTGTTGGTTCAGTGTTGGCATCATTTGCAGTTGCATATGTTTGTGATGTTGTTATTGCAGACAAGAAGGTGTTTGGAGGCAAGTACAAATTATTTATTGGTTTACTTCAATTTTCAAATTGGTTGTGCTTACAGGCACTCATGTCGTTTCATACAGGTACTACTCCACACACTGTTGCAAACAATGAATGGTGGAAAGAGACTGACAAAAAATTCCAGGCATGGCCTCGCACTGCTGGTCCCCCAGTGGTCATGAACCCTATCAGCCGCCAAAACTACATTGTCAAGTCTTGATTAAGATGTTTGGTCTCTGTTTCCTTTCGAGTAGTTGTGTGGTAGTTCGATTGTAATAAACGTTTGTTTCTGCTTGTGCAGCTACGGGTGTTATGTCTTGTATCAGTGAATCGACTGTTAAACTTGAAAGGATACATGATCAAATGGATAAAAGTAGCTACTTGTGTCTTTTAACTTGTAATGTTGATTCTCAGCTCTCTTTGCAGCTTTATTTCTGGCTAAAATGATAAATTTATGTAAGATGGGAATACCCGTGCGTTTTAGATCTTATGTTACATTGTATATGTAGGAAAGAGTTCATCTGTATTTGTGTGTGTTTTTCTTTTGTAATCGGAAGAGTTCATCTACCAGAAATATGTATTTGTGTGTGTTTTTCTTTTGTAATTGGATGTTTCCACTTTCCAAAGGGATAACAAAAAACTAGGACAAAGAAAGAATCACCTAGTATTTTTTTTCATCTCTACTGAGTTTTGAACATGAGATTTTAGGATTTTCAACCTCATGATTGATTATTAGGTCACATCCGTTATTTCCAAGTTCGGATTAAGCCAATATTTGGCTGTGCCGTTCTAATTTATGAAGGAAGATGTAGTCATTATGTGTTTTTGGGTTTGGTTCAAATATTTTATTTGGCTTGAACACTCCTAACAATGATTAAGAAATAGACCATCATTGTTTAGACTAATAAGAAGTTTTAAAAAGAGTAATCATCACAAAAATTCAAAATACGTCTTTAATATGTATTCATAATCAAATAAAACTTGAATTTTCAAATATTATTATTCACTTTAATTTAATTTAACGCCTTATCAGAATACTTAAATTCAGGTACAAAAAATAATCCATCCGTTAATAAGGGTTGTTTTTGTTAATTGGCTATTTATTAGTGCCAATTAATTGAATTTTTTTTTTTGGTTATCATACTGCAAGATGCAATACGTATAATTGTTTTTTTTTGGTTGTACTTAATAATTCACATTAGCCCAAATTTTAGGCCCAAACGGCCGGCCCCTCTATAATTGTTTGCCCTAGTTTGATTTAATTCCTCCCAGAACTCTCGTTCCTCAGTAGAACAAAAACAAGCAAAACACCTCGTTTCAGGTAACAATTTCTGCTAAATTGTCTACTTCCCTTTGTTTTTCTTTTCTTTCTTTCTTTTCTTCGATTCTTTAATGGTTTTTGCATCAACTTCTGTGATTGTTGAATGTGAACATTAAAAGTTTGGCTATGTGATAATCATCTTGTTTATTATCTTCAGTTCAATTGTTTTCTTTGTTGTAGTTGGTGGAATTGGTGGATGTAGGAAAAGAAAAAATAAATTGATATGTATTCCAGTCTCTTTTTTTCTTCTGATATCTAAAGCTGATTTTTCTTTGTTGGTTCGAATGAACTGCTGTCAAGTACTTGCATTGCCTTTATTAGGTTTAAGGAGTTCTCTAATTTGAGTTTAATAATTTGGAGTCACCCTGTATTTGCAGTGATAGGATATTTGGGAAATGTCGAGCTTAATATCACAGAATATTACTCATTCAATCGGGGATGAAAAGTCTAAAAGGAAGACGAAAGGTGAAGGGAAGGAAGAAAGTGAGAAAAAAATTAATAGGAAGAGAAAGAAAGAGCACAATGAAGAGAATAAAGAAGTAGAAATCAAGGATAAGCAGGAAATGGAGAAGCTTGAGAACTTATTGTTTGGATCCTTGTATAACCCAGTTGGTTTCGGGAAGGATGATGACGATGAAAAGCGAGATGATGGCAGAAATGATTCTGCTATGTTCTTTGTGGACCGGGCTGCCGATAGTGCATTGTCTGTTTATGAGGGAGATGCACAGCTAGTGCAAGAAGGGATCATAGAAGTGGAGAAAGAGCGGAAACCTGTGTGGGTAGATGATGAAGAAGAGAAGGCTAGAATAAAATTAGCAAGTGTCAACAGATTGAGGAAGCTGAGGAAAGAAGAGGGCGAAGATGTTGTATCTGGTTCTACATACGTGGAAAGACTAAGGGCTCAACATGCTAAACTTAATCCAGGCACTGAATGGGCCCAAATTGATTATCAAAGCAGAAACTACAGTTCTGATGATGAAGATTCTGACAAGGAAGGTAAACATATTGATGACTATGGTTCCAAGGATGTCAAGTTGGTGGATGATATTCTTCAATCAAATGAAGATCTTGTTGTCAAAAGTCGCACGAAATTGTTGCCGGGGCTTCTTGAATATTCAAGACTAGTTGATGCTAATACAGTTGATTCCTCAAATGCACCGATAAATTCTGTTCAGTTCCACAAGAATTCTCAGTTGCTCCTTGTTGGTGGATTGGATAAAAAACTCAGATTTTTCCAGATTGACGGGAAACGAAATACGATGATCCAAAGCATCTTTCTTGAAGGCTTTCCAATTAAAAAGGCTTCTTTCTTACCCAATGGGTCTCAAGTTATTATATCAGGAAGAAGGAAGTTCTTCCATGTCTTAGATTTGGTCAAAGCAAGTGTAGATAAAGTAGGTCCTCTAGTCGGCAGGGAAGAAAAGAGCCTGGAAAGTTTTGAGGTATCTCCTGATTCAAATACAATTGCTTTTCTTGGTAATGAAGGATATATTTTGCTAGTTTCCACCAAAACAAAGGAGCTCATTGGGACACTAAAAATGAATGGAACTGTCCGCTCAGCGGCATTCTCTGATGACGGACAACAATTACTGAGTTCTGGTGGAGATGGCCACATTTACCATTGGGATTTAAGGACAAGGACTTGCATTCACAAAGGTGTTGACGAAGGGTCCATAAATGGTACTGCTCTTTGCACTTCGCCAAATGGAAGTTTGTTTGCTTCTGGTTCAGACAGTGGGATCGTAAATATCTATAACAAACAAGAGTTTTTAGGGGGAAAGAGAAGACCGATCAAGGCAATTGAGAATCTGACCACGAAAGTGGATTTTATGAAGTTTAATCATGATGCCCAAATATTAGCCATCAGTTCTGGCATGAATAAAAATAGCTCAAAGCTAGTTCACATTCCATCATTTACAGTTTTTTCAAACTGGCCCTCTCCAAATCAGTTTGTGCACTATCCTCGCTGCTTGGATTTTAGTCCTCACGGAGGATTCATGGCTCTAGGAAATGCTGCAGGAAAAGTGTTATTGTACAAGTTGCATCATTACCATGATGCATAGTTAGTTTGGATACAATTGGCATTATGAGCCACAAATGTTTTTGTTAGTGTAGTATGAGATATTCAATGGCATGCTTTATTTTTCCTCCTTTCAGTTTTCTGATGTAACAGTATTTTCCATTGTATGACAAGATGATTTGGTAAAGGACTTTATACTCTTTTACTTTTGACAGAGAATCCTTTGTGCCCTCTTCCCTGTTTGTGGTAAAGGGCTGAATGATTCTTCCCAGTTCCTAGTTTCAGTTACCATTACTGCAATTTACATAAAGTTGCAGATGTCACTCTTATCATTTAGTTGGCTTCATTTCTGGTAATGGTTTTGTTGACATGAGTGCAGAAGGTTGAAGAATACTGGGTCAAAAACCATGCAAGGATGAAGCACTCTGCAATGGAGATGAGTTGAGTTGTTGGATTTTCATATTTTTGGTTCAGTCTCCCCACCTTTTTTCATAATAGGTATATGGACAAAATAGGAATTTTGGAAGTGTGTCCATCTTTTATTATTTGTTTCTCCATGGAAATTATACAACCGTACCACTCTTTTAAACCAGCATTCAAGTAGCTATGGTTATCTGGTTTTTCTCTGAAACCTCCTTAATATCATGAATCAATGTTAAGTAAGATCACTTTAGTTAAATTATCAGCAAGAATCAATGCTGTTAAATGCTAGCAAAGAACCAAATGGACTTGCAATCTTGAATTAATTGGAAGAAAAGATCAGCTTGGTTAAGTTTTCTTGGTTCACTTGCTCCTTGCATAAATTTTGACCAATTTGATAGCCAAATGGTCCTAGATAACAAAATTTTATAACATCTTGTCCAGAATGGTAAAGACAATTAATCCACAGCATTAATATATATGCATAGATGATAACAAAGCTGCATTTCTCTGATATTACCAGACCGGGTAAAAGAGATATAAAACAACTTCACATTTTATTATGCTAACAATGAGCATACCTGGTCAGGAATCTGGGGAGCTAAACTTCATCTTGTTATATAATCATTCGAGCGCTTTAGTATCAAAATTGTCTGTTCCATATGAATAAGTAACTTGATTCACCCTGTTTCAGAGGTGTCTACTTGTTATCTGCAGCAAAAGAAGCTGGAAAGAAGCTGAAAATTTTGCTCAAACAGTTGGAGAGTGATTTGCTGCCATAATAAGTCATGGTGAATTTCCCTGTAACAACAATGCAAAGTAATTTGAAGATACGTTTTTACTTCTATGCAATGGTTGTATATAAAATGGATGAATTCCTATTGAAAAATAAAATGATAAGACGCACCAACTCACAAGTCGAAGATGAAGCTGAAACCACGGCGGACCTACAAAATGTTGTCGGAGAAGTGGTAGCCGATGCTGGCTTGCCTGAGCTCATTTTCCGGCAATTGAAATGAAGAAGCTCTTGTCTAACAACCTGCGAAAGTCTCCGTAAATCTTAAATTCAAAGATCAGATAACTATTTTTATGATTTGGAAAAAAAAGATATTTGATTGTTCTGTTCGCCTTTAGGTGAAATTAGAGTGATGAAACTAATTCAGAAGTACTAGGAGAAAGAATGATCCACTGTTTAATCGTTACAATTCGGAAAGTAACATAGAGAGAAATGAATCACAATAAGCATCAATATTTTAAAATCCTAAAACTCAGGAACAAAGTAATGAAAGTAAAATAGACTCTAAGAAAAATGAATCACAATAAGCATTAATATTTTAAAATCCTAAAACTCAGAAACAGGGTAATGCAACTTCGTAGATCGGAAGAATGAAATTAAAAACTCTAAGCAATCAATTCAGAATAAAAAATCTACCATCTGAAGCAATGAAAATTAAAAGTATCATCGTATGAATGTTTAATCAACCACAGAACATAGCGAATTCAAATCTAACAGATCATTTTCTCAGAGACTGCAACAGAATGCATCAAACTTTTCACAAAAGTACTTTCAGTAGTTTCATTAGAGCTATAATGTTCGATTCAAGTTCCATACTGAAATAATAGAGATTCATAAAAAATTAGTACTAAGCTGTTTTCCATATGTTCTTCATTTTTCAGATCATAAAAACTAGCAACAGATCGAGTTCAACAAAACACAAAAGCATAATAGCAGCTTAAAAGCAAATATATGAAATCATCACCTTAAGCTTCATTGACTGATCACAAAAAGTGGCAATCATCTTCATGTGACGTGATTGTG